ATATGTAAGTAATAAATCACGAAAATTAGAACCAGATTGAAGAAATCGTTTTCGAGAAAAAAAAGTGTAAACTTTTTTTGTTACAACCTGCCCCGGTCTCCCCTACAAATGAAATACGTATATCAGTAAAATTGAACAATATCACTCAATAATATACTAATACTAAATACAGCATAAAAATTTATTTTAAATAATTAGTTGTATGATTAAAAAATATTACTACAGGACATTACAAGGAATTTAGAACTTACATTGAAAATTATTGAACACAGATAAATTGAGAAGAAATTTGAGTATGAATCAGTCTTTTACTTTCCTGTCGTCACTTTCAAAAGTTACATTTAGCTCACAATTATTGGGATGTCAATAAATGTGCTACACGTCAACAAATAAACGTATCCTGAATGTTGATGAAGGTTAAATCAATGGCCCCAGATGCCAACCTTGTGGAACACAACAAGCAACTTTCCTTTCATTTAAATTATTTTGACCATCTGGTTGTCATTGAACTGACATAAACAATTTGTATCTACATACGAAAAAATATATTTAATTTCCAACTCTTGAATAGGTTATTATCATTTCCTAGGTGAGAACTGCTTGAATGGTGGAACAGGCTGGTGGAAATTTGAATTCTGCTATGGCAAATCCGTCGAGCAGTACCACTTCGAGAAAGATGGCAGGCGGATTTCAATAAATCTTGGTATTTTTGACAAGCAGAAACACCTAGACTGGATCAAAAACAACCCCAACAAGAGGCCGAAACCGATCCAACAGCGAAAACAAATCTCACATTTATACTCTGGAGGATCAGTGTGTGATAAAACAGGCAAGCCCAGACAAACAGAAGTTAGATTGAAGTGTTTGCAGAACCCTCCAAGCCACAACACTGTATCGCTTTATCTGCTGGAGCCCAAATATTGTCAGTACATACTGGGAGTTGAGTCTCCACTGATATGCGATATTCTGCCCAGGGCTGATGAAAATGGTCTGGTTGATGTCTTAGGAAATGAGTTGAGCGAAAGTGAAAGCACTGCAACTATCAATATAAGGTTGTGATAGGAAATTTTCGAAAATGAAATTACAATAAAATAAAATACAAGCAACAATGAAAAATTGAACAATTAAAAATTCAAAGATTTCAAGCCAAGTTACTTCACGACGTTTCGATTGTTAGTATCCACAATCGTCTTCGGATGAAGACTGGACTTATTCCTCCCAGAGATTACTATTTATAGGTCATTCGAGTGCTTTCATCTATCCTCTCTACCCTCTCACCGGTTTAGCGGGAGCTGACTGTTTGGCGAGAGTTGGCAGTTTTCCGCTTGATTATGAGTTTCCAAATGTTGCGTATCTCCACGCTAGCTTGGCTGAATGCGTTGTTGGATAACATATATGCGGTTTCTTTGAATTTTCTACTTAACCAATGTATGATCTCAGCTTTGGACCACTGGATGTTATGTTGATGAGTTCAAACATGTTCTGTTATTCCCGATATGCTGGTTTCTCCTCGCTTGTATTTTTCTTGTGATCGGCAATGCGGACTTTCAAAGGCCTCTTAGTTTCACCGATATAGGATTTTCCGCACTCGCAGGGTATGCAAATGCAATTCTTGGAATGGCAGTCCGCGTTTGGTGGACTGGTTTTCGTGAGGCTGTTACGGATAGTGTTTCCGGATCTGCAGCGGGTTCAGATGTTATACTTGGACCCAATTCTTCTTATTCTTTCCGACAATCATCTGATATAGGGAAGTGAAAGTAATGGTTGTGACGGCTTCTCTTCCTTGCCAGGCACTTGCTGTCTTTTAGCCAAAGCCTGTTCCACCATCACTTTGGAGTAACCTTTTCGTTGGAGATCATTTGTGATGATATCTAGTTTATTTTCGAGACCTTCCTTCATATAATAGAGTCCGAAAGCACGGTATACTAGAGTCTGGATGATTTCTTTTTTAATCGATTGATGGTAGTTGGATTCCTGGTTCAGATAGTGGAACAATAGTTTAAGAGGAAATTCAAAGAAGCCGCATATATGTTGTCCAACAACGCATTCAGCCAAGATAGCATAGAGAAACGCAACATATGGAAACCATAATCAAGCGGAAAACGGCCAACTCCCGCCAAACGGTCAGCTAACGCTTAACCGGAGAAGCGGGGAGGGGGAAGAAGGTATAGGTGAAAGCATTCGGATGACCTTTAACTAGTTATCTCTCGGAGGAATAAGCCCAGTCATCACCCGAAACGTCGTGAAGTAACTTTTTAATTGTTGAATTTTCAATTGTTGTTTGTATTATAGTTTAATTTCATTCCGAACTAATAAAATCCACCATGAAACATTGTCAACCACCTTCAAACAAACGTTCTTTTGACATGTTCATAACCTCTGTTATCCCTCTCACTTCAATTCGGCGGTCGTCTAGCACTATTTGGTGAACTTTGGCGATGTTTTCGTCGGTTATTCCCGAACGTTCATCGTCTCCCAAGCTCTTACGGCCACGTTCATAGTGCAGAGTCTCCATATACAGAATCCAACTCAATCTTTGATTTGCTTAGGCGTATTGCCTTTCAAAAACAAATATTCAATGACAGCTCGATACTCGATTTTGTCAATTTTCATAAAAACACACATATCAACTCATTCAAACGACTGTTACATAACAACTGCGCGTCCAAAATGGTTGAAACTTTGATGGATGAGTAACTGTCAAAAGATGAACAACGAAATTCACTAGCTCTTAGTGAGGTCGGAAACTTTTTAGACGAACCTCGTATACAGATTTATTGTTGCATAATAATTAGAACGGAAAATTCAACACTGTATCGTCAGTATCAATTTTTACACTTACACGATATCCTAAACAAAAGGATTTTTAAAGAAACACAGAACTTACCAGCAGCTAAAGCGACCACCACTCCACAAATAGACACCCACACCATAACAGCGGCCGTCCATCTCAACATCAGAATGTACAGTATACAAACCAATAAGGTTAAAAACACTCCAATGAATATTTTATATGATTATCTAAAAAGACTTCTAATACACTTTGGTCATAATATATGAGCGATAAATTCGACCACCGTTTTATATCACAGATTAAATATATAACCTAATCGACAGTTTTATTCTCGTTTGTTTTTCTTTCCGAAAATCTTCATCAGCGACTTCGACATGAAATAAGGTTTCTCCGCAGACCCGTCATTCCTCTCACAGTCCTCCACTGAAAGAAAAATGAATAAGCAATTTGAAAACGCTATAAAATTAAAGAATCCAATACAAAAACCTCTTTATATACTTACAGAAGCACAAAAACAAGGTGTCTACAGCCATGCTGTAGACTCCAAAAAAGAGCGATGATATGAGGTACGTGCAGATCATTATAATAACGACTGGCACTATTCCATAGTGCATATTAGAATTGTCGATGAATTTTGGGACTAGATCAGTAGCGAACAAGACATAAGAGACTGCTCCCACTCCTAACGTTAGCAACACCTTGCTGAGGAAAAACAGAAAATCTGTCACCTGAAAAAAAAATACTATGAAACGCCTTGACCTCCACGATGACCTGATTTGAAGTGAAATCAGTATGTATGCCATCGCCATGTAGATTTTGATAAAAAACGAAGCCCTAACCTTGTCCAGAACATATACTCTGATGATGTTCCTCATCAGGAGCATGAACGCGTCTTTGGCACTTGTACAGAAATTCTTTCCGTGTACGGCGCACATGATGTACGCGTTCTTGTTGATGAACTTCAAGAATTTTTCCAGGCAGTAGAAGAAACACTTGAGGAGGCACATTATTGCTTTTGTGAATTCATTATCGTACTTCTTCAACTTCTGGTCGAGGTATTCCAGTATTACTCTTATAATACGGCATATCGCGATAATCAGTGAGCCGAAAGCCAGAGTTCCAATGTGGTATCTGAAAAAAAGGATTTTATTTAGAAGAGACAGTAACAGGTCAGTATCTTGAACGATAACAAATAAGTAACACAAGTACTTGAAAAAATAAAATTTAAGCAACAAATATTTGTTTCAAATTCATTTTTGATTTGAGTTTGTCATATTTCTCAATTGTATTCAGCAGTTCATTGCCTAATTTCATTCCAGCATAATAGATTGTTCATACTTATATTTGTCAAATTATTTAAGAATGTTGGTTGTTATTGACAATAGTAAAAGAAGAAAGTTATACAAATCATGAAACCCGTTTGTTATCATTATAATAATACATTGAACATCATAACAAAAAGGTTGTTTTTACCAGAAAGCAAACTTTCAATATATGTAATGAAGAAATATTTTATTTTTTGGGGTGTTTATAAAGAACCACGCACAAACCTCAGGTAGGTATGGAAAATGGCTTTCGCTGAATTCTGCCGATTTTTTGATATGATGATTTTTTTCAATGTCCTTGTCAAAGATCTCCACGAGCACAACAAAATATAATGGACAGTTTTTGAGAAAAAAATTGCTCAAAGTCGGCAAAACGGGGAATTTGTTAATAAAACGAGATAAGTAGGCAGTGTGCGCTTTAGCAATTCTTTCATGGGTCTTGTGTCTTTACAGCACCGTTTGCCAATAATTGCAGACCATACAGGGTGACGTAATCCGAAAAATGAAAAATCATTTTTTATAACATTATGAAAACATTAGATTGTGAGAAAGTTAGTCAATGGATATGGTTATATAAATTATTCAGTCGATATACAGTGTGACCCCTCTTCTCCTTATTTGTTTCTCTGGCTATATTTCTAGGAACATTGAATATGCTCACTAGACATACTTGTGAAACGAATTCAACTTCCGGTTTTTCCGAAAATGACATCAATTTTTTATTTTCAAATGAGACACCCTGTATATTATTACATGATCGTTTGGGATGATCATAAGAAAAATTTTTACAAATCGTACACGCTTTTCACAAAATGTTGAGGAGATGAAGGAAATTGTAATAGAGAATCGTCGAATCACTATAAGAGAAGTTGCTGGGCAAGAAGCGTGTGGCAGCAAAGTGGCGGCAATGGAGGAGGTTGGGAGAGCCAATACCAAAAAAAGCACGCCAAGTTCGATCAAATGTCAAGATTCTGCTCACTGTTTTTTTTCTATTACCGTGGCGTAGTGCATCAGGAGTTCTTGCCACTTGGCCAATAAGAAGTAGAATAAGAATGAAATATATACTCGTAACTTGATCGTGACATCAGTAATTCCAAGAAAAAAATGTTTCCTCAAATAGATTAAAACAGGAACATTCTTTTTGGATGTGGGATAGTACCATTAATTTTTAATATAAATACATAATATGCCCGAAAAAACACTATCACTCACTACGTAGTACGCACCACACTGTATCCTGCATCAACAAAACTCAAACGCACCGCCCATGAACGAATAACGAATAAACTATCAACCCGAAATAATAAATGCCATACGTTGCAAGGGAGCAAAGCCTCCGACCGCTTTAAAAACACAGGCTCCACGAGACCGATCCAACCAGCGACATACGTCCCGATTAGTAATTTCAGTTGCAGAAATTATAGCGTCAGAGGAGGCTAGCCTCCAGTTGGTCTCCGTTAGTGTACGACTGCATTTGTTTTTTATTTAATTATTCGGACGGGATACCATGACGGACCGGGACTAAAAAATATTCCGGTAAATCGTTTTAGTGTTTCTTGATAATATTTGTTATTTGTGTATAAAACTGGCAGTATTATATTATAGCAGTGCTTTTTGGTAATATTTTTACTGTGTTTTTGAAGTGTTTTCTTTCAATTTCAAGGTGTTTTCAGGTTTTCACTTTTCGGTAAGTTTTTTTTTTCATTTATTATGGATATAGTCAATTGGTTGCTGACAAATAATATCAAGTCTTTATCTTATGATAATAAATTTTACATTATTAGAACTCTGGGAAGGCCTCAACCAAATTTGATTTCAATTAATTCGTCAGATAATCGACAAAATCGAGGATTTAATATTAGTTGGTACGATAAATGCGATTGGTTAAACGGCTCCATTAAACGAGAAAAACTTTTTTGTTGGCCCTGTGTTTTATTTTCCGTACAAACCGAATACCAAACGTGGTCTAAAATAGGATACTCCGATTTAAAAAATTTACCTCGTGTCATGGGGCAAATATGATTCACAATTTGGCACTTTTTTAAACGGTAGCGTTTTTTCGGGCACCTCAAAAACCATCCAAAATGAGCTTATCATAGACAGTGTGGCATATATTATTGAGGAAAATATAAGCAAGGAGATTGAAAGTGTTTCTTTTTTACGTGTACATCACAACTTTCAATCGTTAGATATGTCAAAGATGGTAATGTGGTAGAACGTTTTATGTGTTTTCATGATGTTCCATCTGGGCGCATAGCTGACGATTTGTTTAATTTTTCAATTCGTACGTGTGACACCTATAATTTTAGGCAAAAGTTAATTACGCAAACCTATGATGGGGCTGCGGTCATGGCCGGCCATTGAAATGGTTTACAAACTAAAATAAAGTCCATAGTTCCTCATGCACTTTTTACGCATTGCCATGCCCATGCCCCAACTTTAGTATTAAGCAAAGCGTGCAACAACATAAAATATAGTCTATATGACTCAAGCCTCCCCTGTTATCCAATGCACGAGCCGTCACTGGTGTAGAATACTCTCGATTGTTCTAAAATTTTGTAAAGGGCAAAGCTTCCAGCCGTTATATCTTCAAAAGCACGCTCCTCGGATAAAAACGGAAACTTACTTCGCTGATGAGGAATAGAGAGAGAAAGAGAGCTATCATACCATATAACTCCCATGATTGTGCCACAATAATCCGAGATGTTCCGGGATTTTCCCGAATGTTCCAGACTATTCCCGAAATTTCACAACATTCAGAATGTTCCGGGATGTTCTTGAATGTTTTGGAATGCTTTCGAATACTTTCGAATGTTCTGGACTGTTTTATAACTTAAAGGCGAAACTTCCAGTTCTCACATCTTCAAAAGTATGCTCTTCAGATAAAATGTCCCTTTCCAACATATTTGGATGATATTTTCACTAATGTATCATGGTAAAGGTTCATTTTAACATTTAGTGTTTGATTTATTTCAATTGGTTCATAAAGCAATGTCAATTTGAAGAAACACGTCTAATATTTGATGGAAAAAAATTTGGTTAACTATATTCATAGTTTGTAAAAATATTGTTTATATAAATCGAAGATAGGCAAATACATGAGGACATTTTGCTATCAGGAAATCTAGGAAAACCCAAAAACTGAAGTCCTAGCAAATGACGTTGTGGGCAGCAGCTGCTACTGAATAAATTAGGTGTGCTTTTTGTGAACCAATGCCTGTCAAGTAATAAAAATATGTTTTTCTGTTAACCAGGTGTCGCCCCCCTACGAACGACAACTCTGAAAAGTCAAAACTTGTGGGAGCTAAGAACTAACGAGGTCTCACCTTTTAACGTGTGATTTTCAACACGGAATTACTATAGTCACTATAGTTAATGAAAACCCTTAAAAAATTCTATTTCGGTAATATTTTACTCACCTCAAAGTTCTCAAAAAAGCCGAAGTGACAGCAAAGAATGGCAGCCTCCTCTTCTCGAAGGTCCAGTACCATTGAGCAAAAACACTAGCCAAAACCATCTGACCCAAAGCGCTAACGAAGAACGCTAACCAGAAGAATCCAAAGACGTTGTAAGCTAAAAATTTAAATTCACGTATATATTATTATATTTATAATAATAGTAATAACATTTATTGTTCCCAAGAAACAACTGGTGTTGAGAACATATACAATTGAATGAAAAACACATACCACAGTTAACCCACTGAAATATTTAAAAAATTGCTTTCAGATTTGCACAGAAACTAATGAAAATGTTATGAAAAAAAATACTTTATAATTCAGTTATCAAACATTGCGCAAATATATCAACAAATATTTTTTCGTTTTGGTTGGTTTCCGGGTTTTGCCGTGGTCTTCTTTGGTTATAATCTATAAACGTTTCAACTTCAATTGCGGCAGTCACCTTCAGTGCCGAGGTCGAAATACTCTCCTTGACGTATCAACTGAAACTTAAGCTCTAATTTCTGCCGCGTCATTTACTGTGCTGATTTTTCGCACACTTTCTGTAATGGCGGGTTCCCGCTTATTTTCCTCGCGGTTTCAGTGACTTGGCTTCGTTTTGGCGCTTTTAATGATGTGTGCCAGATCTTTGGTAGATATGTTCTTTCTTCCTTTCTGTTGATGTTCGCTTGGTGTTTGTGTATTTTTATAGCTCTGTTACGCCAGCGACGCATAGTACGGAAATCGCATTTACAAAATGCCAAAATTACGTACTTTTTAGGTGCATTTTAGGTATCGAAGTCAAAAATTAAGTGCTCTGTTACTTTTACACCGCAACTCAATACTCAAAGTTGCTAGCAACGCAATGGAAATAATAATGAAATAATGAACGTTAAGGAAATGAGGATCGTAAAATGTTCTAATTATTAAACAAAAGCTTCCAATTTCGCTAAACAACAGATTTAAGAATCAGGTTTCTCGAAAACGAGGACGAATGCTCAATCGGGTTTAAACTAAGCGTGGTAATAAAGTGCTAATTAGGTGGTTGCAAGAAATTGAAATGAAAACGACTGTGAATAAGCCGAAAAAAATTCAGGATACCTGATTTGAGAAAAAAAATAACAATATGCAATAAAGTCTTGAAATGCTCGTAAACTAATACATAGACAAAAAAAGTGCTAATTAAGTGCTCACTAGATATTTATAGTAAACCTAGATTCCATAAGAGCTATAGGGCTCATGGACCTGAAAACCACCATGACTGATGTACTGAGTTTTTATAGTACGTTTCTCAATAAATAAGGGCAAGAAAATAAAGTGCTAATTAGGTGCTCACTAGATATTTATAGTAAACCCAGATTCCATAATGCCTATGGGGCATATGGATCTGAAAACCACTATGACTGATGGACTGAGTTCTTACAGTACGTTCCTCAATAAATAAGGGCATGAGAATAAAGTGCTAATTAGGGGCTCATTAGATATTTATATTAAATCTAAATTCCATAATGCATATGGGGCTTATGGACCCGATAACCACCATGACTGATGTACTGAGTTCCTATAGTACGTTCCTCAATATGACTTTTAACTGGTTCGTCTATATTGAATAGAGTGATCCAATAAAAACAGTCTTTCGCTTACCGTCTAGAATTTTTTTTAGAATGTTACAAAAATTCTTTCAGAAGTGCAGCTCGATATCTCACTGAATTTATTATTGTCTTCCTAAATAACACGAAAAACATTTTTGTTCCGTTTTCTTTCAGTAGAACTACAAAAATGATTTTGAATCAAATTTTGAAGCTTTTGTTCTTGTCGGAAATTTAATTCTCATTAAAGAAGCTCTGATCCTTCTTTGTCGACTTAACAGATGAAGATGTAGGAAGCTCTGAAAACCTCCGAGGACAAATATTTGCTATTATTGTAGTAAAAAAATAAAAATTCGAAATCTTCTCTTTATTCTGTTTACGATAATATCTCACACTTCTTATGTTAAATCAAATTATCCATTTTTATTATTCATTTTTACATTTATATTTAGTACAGATAAGTTATTCAGTATACAATATTAATTGCGGAATAATTTGATGACTGTTAGGACGATTTTTTACACTATAATTGAATTCAGTCCATTGGTTGTTACGGAAACAGTTAGTTGAATATAGTCTTATTTGTTTTGTTGAATTTGCTTCGTTTGCACTTCTTGACGGTCGTGGAGAATTGCATGATATCATTGATCTTATGATCAATAATGAATGGTGATGCCATTGTAGGTAAGTTTTTGGAACTTCTCTAAGACTCGTAGCCATTATGGAATCTAGGTTTACTAGAAATATCTAGTGAGCACTTGATTAGCTCTTTATTTTGATTGTCTATGTATGCGTTTAGGAGCATTTCAAGACTTTATTGTATATTGTTAATGTTTTTCTCAAATCAGGTATCCCGAATTTTTTTCCGCTTATTCATGATTGTTTTCATCTTAATTTCTTGCAAGCACCTAATTAGCACTTTATTACCACGCTTAGTTTATACCTGATTGAGCATTCGTCCTCGTTTTCGAGAGACCTGAATCTTAGATCTGTTGTTTAGCGAAATTGGAAGCTTTTAGCACTTAATAAGCACCTAATAGGTAGTGTTTCGTTAACATTCATTATTTCATTATTATTTTCATTGCATTGCATTACATAATGCTAGCAACGCAACTTTGAGTATTGAGTTGCGGTGTAAGTAGCAGAGCACCTAATTTTTGACTTCGGTACCTAAAAAGTACCTAATTTTGGCATTTTGTAAATGCGATTTTCGTACTTTGCGTCGCTGGCGTAACAGAGCTTATTTTTATGGCTTCTAAATACATTCTTGTTGAATAATGATTCTGTTCGAAAATAACGAGGAGGTAGCAACGTCGAATCATTATCCAACAAGAATGTATTTAGATGCCATAGAAATACATAAACACCAAGAGAACTTCAACAGAAACGAAAAGAAGATATATCTACCAAAGATCTGACTCAAATCATTGAAAGGCGCAGAAACGAAGCCGGGTCACCCAAATCGCACGGGAAGTACGCGGGAAACCAGCATTACAGAAAGTGCGTGAAAAATCAGCACTATAAATGACGCGGCAGAAATGGGAGCTTCAGTTTCAGTTAATACGTCAAGCAAAGTAATTAGACCACGCCACTGAAGATGACTGCCGCAGTTGCAGTTTGGAGATTATAACCAAAAAAGACCACGGTAAAGCCGGGAAACCAACCAAAACATTGACGCCAACTGTGAAAGCCTATATTCCTAATGATGGTTTCAATTATTTCGAGAGTCATGAGATTTTACCTTGCAAATAGGGATAGAGAACGTCGTTCTGCATTTTCACGAATCGACAACTAGCTTCCTGGCACTCAGTTAAGTTTTTGGTAACAGCAGCAAAATTAGTTTTATCACATACAGAATTGAGCTGAAAAACAAATCACTTGTAACAACTCTTGACAGACCTCATTGCACACAAATTAATAATAATAGTAACAATAAGCTTGTTTAACTTCGCAATAAATTCAGATATATTTTCAGTTATGGCATTCGATAGTAATTGAATATTTGTATGAAATATTAATGCCATTTTACAAGTGTTCAATAACAACTACTTACCTACCTTGAGACAAAATAAATGTTATTGTAGGTTAATTTGCAAGAGTAAGAAAAGGCATTAATATATCCCCTTAAAACAACGATATCTATGGAACCTACAGAAAAATCAATCTAAAGGAAGTCACTCGCAAAGTCAAGCTGTCTTTCTGTGAGGCAACTACTTGAAACCAGATTCCAAAAATAAAGCATTTGAGATCCAACACAAGGTAATGCTGTTTTGACCCTCCTTAGATGTCAATGCATTGTTAGACTCAATTGTTCTCAAAGAACAAGCCTGAGTAGAACAAGACTATGATATACCCCTTTAAGTACACGCCATATATGGCGTTCACAAAATATTCAATAAAATAAAGAGAGAAGGCGAATCGAGTTCGGGAGCCGATGTCGAAGCATGCCTTTGCATCGGGAGACATTTAATAACCTCGATATTTTTTGATATTCGTGGATTGAGTCATTTGTCGATCCCATTGATGACTTCTTCTTAAGAAGATTTGTCATCGCCTTTTTTTCGCAGGTTGTGATCCTTTTATTTAAATCATACACACGCAGATAAATGGTCATAAAATAACGAACAACGTGTTTCATTCATTAAAAAAACTTCCTGCTAATGAAATGTATTGAATAGCATCAAAGTTTATTAAACGAATATAAATAATTTGAATTATATTCTGCGACTAAACTTTACGAATGGCAACGTTGCATACACAGAGATGTTTATGGGGTGGAAAAAAACGGCAGATCAAATTTGCCGTAAGGTAAGGTGTTTTCTCTGGGGTTTATTCATATTCAAGCCTGTATTCCAAAACGATTCGTATTTACGTCATTATTAATGAGATTCGCCAAAATGAAATGATTCAATTTGTGTCAGATGTCAAATTCAATGAGAAAAACTAACTTTACAATTTTCTTTAACCTCAATTTGATTGATGCGGATTTGGCAGGTAATAATTTTCCAGCTTAATTTTGTACATCCTTACAACGTATTTGATAAAAAGTGTTCAGCACTTTCGTACCCATTATGAGCCTATTGCATGCATTCTGGACCTTCTGGATTCTAAAACTGTCACTCTTCAAAATTACTGAACCATACACCACGTCTGCGTAGTTGGCATGTGAAAGATCTGAAGCATCGTAGAGTTATAATTTTACTTTTTTTCTCCAGAAATGCTCTGTTGGAATATATCATTTTTGAATTTGCATAACTCCGTTTCATAATTAGCAAAATATGTGTTTCAAGTTTTAATTTCTGTTCCATCTAGTGTCTAGTGCTATTAACATCGATACACAATCCATCCATACCTATACTCTTACTACTTACCAGGATGCCAGACTGGTTTTCACAACCCCGTGTCACATCGGCTTTGTATAAAGGTTTTCCGATACTGGCTAAATACACTGCAACAGCTATGGCGTAAGCAATTACTCCAACTTGAAGCACCCATGGCAAAATCGGGAAAAATAACGATGCCGTCACGGAACTGGCCGCTCTGTAAACAAAAAATTATTTACATCTATTCATAATTGTTCCGAAAGCTTTGAAACTTACTTGCTGCCTTCTTTTATTAAAGCTATGGCCAGTATTATTCTCTTCCTCAAAAATATCAGCATGAGTAGTATGACTAGTAAAGCGATGGACAAGATGACCACTAATGCTAGCCATAAATCTCTGTGGGTTGTCAGTTCGTCTCTGTCTCCGTCGAAGACTCTTCCTTTGAGTTTGTCTCTGTACTCGATATATTTCAATACAGTGAAATACAACGCTAAAAATATAAATGTAAATATTACGTTTCAGCAAGATGAGATACATCCTCATTACGACAGGCTAATTCGAATGTGGCTAAATGACAACAGGTGGTTCCCTAGAAATTACCCCAGAAATATTGCATAACGTGACAAATTTAATGATTTTGTAAAACAAACTTTTCAATATCGTCAGAAACACCTATTAGGAGAAACTGTAGTGAGGTTTGAATACAGTTTTTCTTGAAGTTATGAAATTAATCTTTTAATTGCGGATTTTTAGGAAGAATATAAAACCACTAATAAGTCAGGAACGGCAAATCAAATTTATAAAAATAAAACGATGTTGAAGAGATAATAGAAATGACTATCAAACGAAGTATAAGTGATGCAACATTATTGTCTTTTTTTATCAAAAGGCACTGGTATCTTTTTTTGGGCACTTGGACCCAAATTCCATACCATACCTTGATAAGTTAAGGGGGAAGACATTTAACGTCGGAACTGTATAACCGTCCCCTCGACCAACTTTAAAATACGAGAGTTGTCTGAAAAGTTTTTTTTCAGCATAGTCTCCTTTCAACTCTACGTACTTCTCCCAGGCGATTGCCTCTTCATTTGACGAACATCTATGTCCGGATCTATTGAGCATAAACTGCGTCAACAGAGCGTCAGAAATGTTAATTCGTACACGTTTTTGGTCTAACGTGAGCAAACGCGGCACCCAATGCACGGACAGCTTTCCCATGCGTAAATGTTCGTTTGAAACAAACAAGTTCTTTTGAATTTCATTAATTCGGACTTCTTTTTTTCAGCATAGTCTCCTTTTAACTCTACATGCTTCTCCCAGGTGATTGCCTCTTCATTTGACGAAAATCTATGTCCTTCGAGCGCAATTTTTAGATGAGGGAGCAAAAAGAAGTCGCTTGGGAATAGATCTGGTAAATAACGCGGATGGTCAAGCAGTTCAAACCGTAATTTGTAGATTTTCGCCATGGTAACCGCTTGAGACGGTGCGTTGTCTTGGCGAAACAGGACTTTCCGCAAGTTCTGCCTTCAACGTGTCAAGTGAAAATGCGAAGTATGCTCCTGTAATGGTTTCCTTTTTCTATTGAAATAACTCCATGACTATCCCAAAAAACAGTCGCCAACACTTTTTCAGCCGAAAATATAGTTTTTGCTTTTTTTGAGTCGTGTTGCCCCTCTGCAGTCCACTGTTTGGACTGTATTTTCGTTTCAGGTGTATAATGGTGTATCCAAGTTTCGTCTTCAGTAATTAATCGGCGCCAAAACTCGAATTTATTGCGCCTAAACTGCATCAACAGAGAGTTGGAAACGTTCATTCGTACACGTTTTTGGTCTAACGTAAGCAAACGCGGTACCGAACCATCACTTTGGAGTAACCATTCCGTTGGAGATCATTTTTGATGATGTCTAGTTTCTTTTCGAGACCTTCCTTTATATTACAGAGTCCGAAAGCACGGTCTACTAGAGTCTGGATGATTTCTCTTTTAGTCGATTGATGGTGGTTGGATTCGTGATTCAGATACTGAAACAATGGTTTAGGAGGAAATTCAAAGAAAGCCGCATATATGTTGTCCAATAACGCATTCAGCCAAGCTAGCGTAGAGAAACGCAATATATGGAAAGCCATAATCAAACGGAAAACGGCCAACTTCCGCCAAACGGTCAGCTACCGCTAAACCGGTGAGAGGGTAGAGAGGATAGGTGAAAGCACTCGAATGACATATAAATAGTCATCTCTCGGAGGAATAAGTTCAGTCATCACCCGAAACGTCGTGAAGTAACTTTTTAATTATTGAACTTTCAATTGTTGCTTGTATTTTATTGTAATTTCATTTCAGGTTTTTTGCCTAATATGATTGTTATTTTCAGCTATTCATTTTAATTACATTGATTCTTTCAGGGATTTCAAATTATTTAATATCATAATGGACAATGGAAGTCCGAACTAATAAAATGTACCATAAAACATTGTCAACTACCTTCAAACAAACGTTCTTTTGACATGTTCATAACCTCTGCTATCTCTCTCACTTCAATTCGGCAGTCGTCTAGCACGATTTGGTGAACTTTGGCGATGTTTTCGTCGTTATTGGACGTCTCGAGCATTCATCGTCTCTCAAGCTCTTACGGCCAATCACTGTGGTAAATGATGTCGCAGAGTCCCCATACACAGAATCCAACTCATCTTTGATTAGCATAGACGTATTGCCTTTCAACAACAAATATTCAATGACAGCTTGATACTTATTTTTGTCCATTTTTATAAAAACACACACATCAACTCAATCAAACGACTGTTACATAACAACTGCGCGTCCAAAATGGCTGAAACTTTGATGGATGAGTAACTGTCAACAGATGAACAACGAAATTCACTAGCTTTTATTTACGAGTACTGCTATCTTCATGTTGAAGTCGGAAACTTTTTAGACGAACCTCGTATACAGATTTATAGTTGCATAACAATTAGAACGGAACATTCAACACTGTATCGTCAATATTCATTTTTACACTTACGCAATATCCTACACAAAAGGATTTTTAAAGAAAAATTGAACTTACCAGCAGCTAAAGCGACCACCACTCCACAAATGGACACCCACACCATAACAGCGGCCGTCCATCTCAACATCAGAATGTACAGTATACAAACCAATAAGGTTAAAAACACTCCAATGAATATTTTATACCAGGAGTTTTTGATATCTTCAACGACATATTGTCCAACCTACAAAGTGGCGATTTGTTATAATTATGAAACCTTTTTAAGTAGGATACTGTGCAACTGCCTATCGAACGGTACTTCCCCAATGAATTAACGTACCACTTTGAAATTTTCAAATATTTTGTTGGCGTTAATAAAAATTCCTAGTATGTTATATTTTAAAAGCCTTTGTATATGCTATTTGTGAATTCTATATTTATTGACAATGTTTTATTGCAATACAAAAAACAAATAATGTACCAATTAAGGTTCCAAATCTGAACGAGTTCTAGAAGTGTGCTTATTCGGTTTCTGTTTAGTTGTTAACCATTTTGAATTGTGTTCATTATGGATCATCAATCGCAGTAATACTATTGTGAGAAGGCCATCTCACAGATGTTACAAAGATTCCTCGAAACGGGGGACTATGCTCCCAGACCAGGGCAAGGACGAAATCGAGCAACTTCTATATTCAGGAAATATTTTTAAGAATTCCGGCTCTTCAACAACGACAACAACAAGATCTTGGAGCAATTGGAGCAACATGTAGTATCATTTTCTCTGTATATCGGCGAAAATTTTTCACCGATGCAAGATAACGCCACACAACTCGTTGCACAGATAGTCAGATATTACCTAGAAAAAGTTGATGATATTAACACCAGGCATGGCCAGCACTAGCCCATACTTTAATCCAATAGAAAATCTATTTTTCTTCAGCCTAAATGACAGCGGACAAAGTGATACAATTACTAATACCTATGTAGATTAACTCTGACTACAAATGAAATATTGATTTATTAAAGTGGTGCGTTAATTTTTTTGGGAATTGAATTGAAAAATAAAGACACATTCGAGAGAAGTTAGACAGTACTTGTTTAATATTAGCTGCTAATTTACCAGCAAAGGAAGCTAAGCCATGCAAAGAAACATGCAGTTAATAGAAAGTACACAACCATTCCACAACAAAATACGTGACATCTACTACAGTGACTAAACATCGATGTATCACAAAGGTGACTAATACCAAATCTTTGAAATAATAACAACAACGGTAACATGAGCAGTTAATAAAGTTCCGTTTATTTTTCAATACTTCAAACTCAATGTACGTCAATTTACGTTACTGAATATTCTGACAATGGTTAGAGACAGTCATTTTATATAACAAACGAAAACTTAGAGAATGTTGCTAAAAGAAGCATTGTATAAACATAATGATTTTATACAGTACGTCAACTATTTCAATGGAATCATATAAATATATTTTTCTTTCTTCGTGGAGCTACTTCAAAATTATTACATGCATTTATTTATTTCATCCTTCCTGAAAAACACCCATACAGTTCTTACAAAATATAAACAGACGGATGATAATTGGATTTGCCAATTTATAATTTTGAAAAAATCAATATACATTCTCAAAGCAGACTTAAGCAATTCACATTGAAACGGTTTAATATTGAGTCAAATGATTTCAAATCGACAACACAAGTATAATACTAACAGCAACTTTCACTTTACTTTGGCATATAGAAACCTAGGAGCTCCAGCTAGATATTTTGTAAGCTATTTCCAAGAAGTGAAATGTTCTTTATTATTTTACTAAGACTGGATACGATACACAATCTTTGATTTTGAAATTTCTTGTTATTTTATATCTCATCTTTACTTCTTTATGTGATCCCAATGGAAAGTAGTCTAGCTGTATAGAATCATAACGTTCAGAAATTCGCTAGCTGATAAAATTATTATTTTTCTATATTTTAATCCACCTAATCAAGAAATGATCTATGCACAGTTCATAAACATACAAGTTCATAAACATACAATTACCCTAGCAACACTCTTCAAATAACATAAGTAGCATCATAAGCTCAATTGTTTATGTAGGAGGGCTATTCATAAAATAATGGAACTGAAGCAAAATGAAATAAAAAAATTTCAAAGATGCTAGACTGAAAGACAAGCATTATTTTTTAGTGTAGATAGTAAATTAGGTTTCGTCAGTGTGTGAAAGCTGTTTCTGCAGTTTTTCATGCCTGACGTTTCATCTACTATGCGGTAGATGTTATCAAAGGCTGTGTTGAAACCAAGCTACGCTCACTAATAATAATATGAAGCCAAAGTCAAATACCTACCGTCATCGTAGTTAGAGCGATCGGAACGGAATCAACAACTCGAGTACCAACTTGGGCACTGCAACCGTTACCACATTCCATTTGATGTCTACCGCAGTAGTAGGTAGGCGAAACGTCAGGCATAAAAACCCTGCAAAACACGGCCAAAAAACCTGGAAAATAGCTTTGACACAGTTATCTGCGGCCGTGATTGTTTAAATTTTATGTTTCGTCAATCACTACAAGAACTCGAGGTAATGCATTTGTAGTTTAACTGTAATGAAAATCGATCACATGAGTACAATATTACTAAAGCCCGACCCTTGGACTGATTCTGTATCTCATTTATATCAATGCTATCTCATGGGTGAACATGGCAAATGGTCCAGGTTGAAATTGAAACTTTCTATTACAATTTCAAATAGTAAATATTGAGCTTTTTCTGTTTGTTAAGCTATATAAACAAACAGGTATTGAACACAAGCAAATATCAGCTTCAATTCCATTATGTAGGGAGCTTTTCCCATATCATACCTCATCTGCTTTCACCAGCCATTTAATTTTTGCAACAGACGTTTTCAAAGTGTCCATATCGGTATGTATTTCGGTCAAATTTATTTGATCGATGTTTAACAAATCGGGAATACATCTCTTTTGAACTGTGGAGAAAGAAACACAAAATCTTCATTGATTCAAAATACAAATATCAATTACACTCCTGTATAAAATCGACTAAAGAAAGCCACCGGTGCTCCGCAAAGCTCCATCTTGGGCCTCCAACTGTATGGATATATAAATGCTGTTGTTTGCGAGTGCGCTTTATTAGTATAAATAAAATATCTAGATTTATGGTTAGTATGGGGTGCAAGATACTGGTTCTACGTAATTTCTTATAGAGATTTTTCCAATTCTTTCTGAACTGTTGACTGAACCTTCGGCGGTTCTGTAAGAAACACTACTTGATGATAATTTGATAATAGATTTGCAATAGAAAGATCTACATATTATGAAAAATAGTAACTCATATCATTTCAGCAGCAGTTAGATACCTGCGAAAGATTTTCAATGTCCAAAACAGCCAATATTTTCTGTACAACTGTGGACGTCCAGCGAACAGGGTTGGTGGTATCATTTTTGGCATAATCATCGTTTTCTTGGACTTTCAATAAGCCCAAATCGATCAGCTTTTTGCGGGCTGCTTCATCGGGAAGGCATCGGTTCAGGACTGCATAAAGTTCGGTATATTGGATAAGGTTTTTTAGGTCATGCACGCGTTTGGAATTCGATAAATGAAACGGAAGTCAGATAAACATAAAATACAAGTCAAGGTGAATATACGATTATAAAAAAATATGTCACGAAATTTCTGCAACAAATGTGGAACAAATTTCAGGAAAAATAAAAGTTTCAGGAATAGTTCATTATCAGTTAGTTCGGAACTGGAAAACATTAGAAAATTACTTTATTTAGTTGCAAGGAGAAGAGAAAATAGTTGCTGCCATCACCATAATTGATATACTAAAGTTTTGAATCAATGCTCTGATTTCTATTCGTATTGACCAATATGATGTGTAATGAATAGATCAATGAATAAACTAGAAAATGAATACGAAAAAAAAAATATAATTAAAGTATTGTAAGTTCAAATGTATAAAGCTGAAACAAATATCATTAAATGTAATAAAAAAGTGTGAGATGAAAATATATCTTTGCATGTCATTTATAGACATTCAAAGTTTTCATATACAGGGTGTTCCTTAAACACATGCTAATATTTAAGGAGGTAATTCTTAGACCCATTTTAAGAAAAAAA